TTGCAAAGAAGCTGATGAAACTGTTGATCACATACTCAGCTGCTATAAAAAAATTGCACAGACTGATTATAAATTGCGGCACAATTCAGTAGCGCAAATGATCCATTGGAATATGTGCCAAAATTTTAATATTAAAACAGCAACAAATTGGTGGGAACATCAGCCTGAAAAAGTCACCGAAAATCAGATGGTCAAGATCTTGTGGGATTTCCGTATACAAACGGACAAAATACTGGCGCATAATACACCAGACATCACACTGGTTGAGAAAAACAAGGTTACAATCATAGATATTGCAATACCAGGTGATAGCAGGGTCGCCGAGAAGGAACATGAAAAAATCGCAAAATACCAGGACTTAAAAATCGAAATTTGGTACCTTGCCTCTTGCCTTGTGTGTTCCTCCTTGTTATTTTGCAAACGGTATCCTTGGACGCATCATATTTTAGACCTCAAAACTGCTGTCAGCGTTTAGGCTGAATACTGACATAAAAATGGCCACAATAATGGATACTTAAAGTGCATCTGTCTCCTTGCCAAAGAGAAGACAACAGAGCCTGCCATGCCCTATCAGCTCTGGATTAAAAAATAGATAGAAAGATAGGATATCTGATTTCATGAAGGCCAGGGACCATTACTATGCCTAATTTTGTAAAAATGAAGGTATTCTTCTAACAAGTTATCTATTTAACAACTGCCCTGCCTTGATACTTTTACCCAAGCAATTATTTTATAGAAATTGCAAAATTGATTGATAGAAATAAGAGATTAAATTGATCCAATCTTATGCTGAAACCATGTCAATTCAGTTTATAACATCTTGCTGACATGGAATTTAGATTAAAAAAAATCTGATGCAATTTATTTAATTGGGAAGTAATCTAATATTTAGAGATAGTGCCACGATGACTGAAAATCGGCGCAGATTCTTGGAATCAGCAGATGTGAAGAATTAGCATTAAAAAGATTTAGAGAAGGAACATCACTACTTTTCTGTCTCCTGACAGTACTTTAATTATATGTTTAAAATATCTGTAGAAATCTTCAAAGACACATTTGAAATGCCCCATTCTCTTCAATTTGCTTTATAAACCAACATTGCCTTTTCACTTCTAAGACCAAGATGAGGGGAGCTCAAGGCAAAGAAGTAGCATGATCTTCTTGGGTTCAGACTTTGGGGCAAAATGAAGAATAATTGCGTGGCCTTTTCGCCCCATTGATGATCAGTTCAAAACAGCTCAATGAGGCTCAGCAAATTCACTTTATACAGTAGGTCTAATTTTAGGATGAATAGGATGTAAAGCTACAATGAAAACAAGATTCTTCTCTCCACATTTGTATGTTGGATATATAGTAGAAGATAAAACAAACTGCTTTTTCAATTCAGGAATAATGTTTTCCTCAAAGAAATGAGAATTTATAATTCAGCTATGTTGATATTGTAAGCTCAGGTTTTTTTCTTTCGTTATCCCAATGTGAGGTTCCTCTTTTTATAAAAAAAATTCCAACAAATGCAAATAAAAAGTTGGAAGTTACATAGACTGGGATGGGCTGCTTACAAGTATCAGGCAGAAGACCACCCTACCATAAAAGGTAAAAATCCTTTCCAGTTTATCTCAAAATCTCTGGTGAAACAGGGGCAGAACTTTGCATCAAATTGCCATTTTTTCCCTTCCCCCCTTTTTCTTCTTTTTATCGGTTTGTATGTTTATATGTTTTAAAAAAATCTTTAATAAAAATTAATGTATAATATATAAAAAATAAATTAAGAATTAAGTGCTTGTCTCCTGTGATATCAGCCTCCCTCACACACTATAGGAACGTCAGTGTATTTTACGGCTCTGCCTGGATGAAAAACAAGTTTGGAAGAAGTGTTTTGGACCTGGCATAAGTGCAACATACTTGTGATATGCTAGCCTTAAAAAACCGCCAGTCTTTTAAGAATCATTTTAATGATTCAAATCATTAATGCAGCTGCATCCTTAGTTATTCTTGAAGTATACCTCGTCCAAATATGTCTGTGTGTGTGTGTGTGTGTGTGTGTGTGTGTGCCTGTGTGTGTGTATGTATGTGCATATATATATATACATACATACATACATACATATATATATATATGTATGTA